ACATACAACACATACAACACATACAACACATACAACACATACAACACATACAACACATACAACACATACAACACATATAATACATACAGCATACTCGTACACATACCTCATACACTCGTACACTCATTCATACACTCGCACATAATTTTATATTGTTTACATTAAACCAGTATACTATGAATGATACAGTATTACTATTAGTCATAATAAATGATAAAGTTTAATTGTAATTTTAACGGTAGAACCTATTGATTGAGGCCAAACTCACCTCAATTCGACATGCCATATATATATATACCCTATCAATGCGCTTATCAATTAACCGGAGTAGTACTAGCCTTATATAGTAAGTGACTATGATTATTATGATGATGGGGCTCTCAGACTCGATTATCGATATTTTCTTTACTGAACATTATGTTATACTGAACCTGACTTGACCCCCGCATGCCATACGCTATCCCCGCATGTCTTTCCGCTACTCGCAACATCCCACCTTTTTCTTACTCATTTTACTTATTATTAGACGCATTTGTAAAGAATGCATCTGAATAATTGGAATTTACCTAATTTGACTCTTTTGTTTATTGTTTATGTTACCACATCTCCGTTTTGGCAAAGCCCATTCATAACTCAATCGATTAGTATGTATTATGAGGCGGTGTAAATTCTACCCGAACATTCGCATTGAAGGGGGGAAAGTGAGGGGGGCGTTTAGCGTGGAGAAAAGGTAATGTTACAAACAAGGCAGTAGGCAACGAGGCCAATACCCGCCTGCTCACCCGATTCTCATCTGTACGAGAGAAAATTTATATACAGGCAATCCCCCTTTTCCCCCCTTTCTCCTTCTCAGCTTTTTTTTTCTCTTCCATCTTTTCACCAACCCGCACACTCCTCCATCCATACTCAACCCCATTCTATTCGGCAAATAATAATTGAAACAATATAAATATTAATTCCAATATTTCACAATTTTTCGTGAACCACTGATTCCGGAAACAAAACAAGTAAATAAAATAAACAATAAAACATTCAAAAGGTAAAGTTGGCAAGTTACAGGTCTACAAACCTTTGTGAATAATATCCCATCTCTAAATTTCAAAAAAAAAAAGCTGCAAGTAGAAATTAGTTGGTCTCACCAACACAATAATAACCACAACAACCACCATAACAACAACAACAACCATAACAACCACAACAACCACAACAATCCCTTCTCCTATATAAAGATATTTATCGAACAATCGGGAAAAGAAAAGATACGCACAAAATAATAATTAAAAAAAAAAAAAAGAGTCAAAACAATAATAGAACACACACACATCCGACGAACAAAAAAGTCATCCCCCAATTTCAAATATCCGCACCAAAAAATCTGCACCACTAATTAGTAAAACTATAAATATAATCGACCAAAAAGAAAGAGAAGTAGAAAATCCCTCCCCTTTTCCTTCCGACTGCAAGTGTCACAAGCTGCCGAGTTGTCGTTAAAAATCCTTGTGTTTTCTGACGTCACCTTAAGCCGCTTGGGAAGGACAAAAAAGAGGGGTCTTTTAATTACAATTAAGCAAACGCGTTGACAGGCATTGTCTGTGGTTTGGATTTCCACCGTTCAGCGAACACGCACACACTCCTACACTCTTATACTTCTTTCAACTCTCACAAACGAGTGCAAACCCAAAAATTCTCCCTCCCTCACCGTATACTATATACTTCCACAAGGTACGCTATACAAACCTTTCTTTTTTTTTTCTCTCTCCCCTTTTCCCTAACCCATACAATTCTCACCATTCGCTTTCAACCTCACTCCACCTTTCCATCTCCTCTCCCTTTCCTCTCTCTCCATCTCTGTTTACTGATGAACTTTCTCTACATACAGCCAACATGGCAAATACCAGTTTCAACTATTGGGTAAATTATTTTTTTGAATTCTTCTCTTTTAAATAAACAAGAACATTAGGTAAACGACTTAAACAAAACCCCCCTCCTCCTCCTCCTCCCAAATACGTCCATTGCAGGTAAATTTTCCGATGCTGAGGTTCAACGGTAAAGAAGAATCGCAGAACGGCTTTGAAGATGTCGAGCGTGAGAACGGTGGTAGGTATTTCTTTTCCATTGCAAATGAAACTCGTCTCTAGGTCCCATCTCGAGCGAAAACAACACTCTTTGCAACTATTCATAACCCGAGAGTAGTCTAGAAGCGCTATATTCTTGGTTTAGTTCGTTTTTTGGCACGCGGTAGCTCGTCCTTTGCGCACGCTTGTTCTCTCTCCCCCTTTTCAATTCAATACTTCATCTTGCTTTCTGGCGATAAATAGTGACTGCAATAATATTCGCTTTTGGCAAGCAAGTAATAAAGCATTTGCACACACACGCACACCCAACCCCTCCTTCGCCTCCTCCCCCCTCTCCCCTCATGAGTCAGCTTGTGTACTTTTATACACCGTTCCTTTGCCACACTTTCCCAGCTTTTTCACCGCTCTTTCTCCGCTCCTTCTCCGCTCGTTCACACACTCCCCGTCCTTTCCCTTTCCTCAATACCTCTCATGTTATTAATACTTTTCGAACCAACGTATATATACTTGCACATTCGCCATTCGACTCGTCTGAATTCAAACTCGGGGCTTGCCTCACTTTTACGGTAATAATAATAATAATAATACCCTATTCTTCTTTCTCTTTTCGTTAACAGATAAATCCAAATACCGCACATATTCGCCTCAACCGCCAACACCCGTTTCCCGCCCGAAATCGCCACCAATGCCAACCCAGACGCGCAACTCGCGCCATTCCTTTATGTCGCAAGACAATCTCACATCTTCCAAAGGAAGTTTTTACATACAACCATCTAAACAAGGAGTACATCCTGCTGATGCCGCCGCGGTGCTGGCTTCATTAGCGCCCAATAATTCTAAAGACATTTACTTACCTTCCGAAATGTTTCCTTCCCCTCCATCAAAATTCTCCGTAGACGATTCTAAAAAACATTTGAAGCATAGCGTAAACTTTAATAATAGTCGTCGCTCCTCATCACCTCGCCAAAAGCAGCAACCATATCTTGACATAGCCGAGGCACTGGCCACGTCCACTTCTCTAATTCGTGAAAACAATAAGAGAATCCAAGCTAATATGGAAGCACACTATAGTGATAATGAAACAGACACTTATAGTGATGACGGTGCCGATGGCGCCGACGGTCCTGACATAGAGTTTGAGGAACAGATTGTAGGTCTCAGCGCCGAACTACAGAAAATGCAGCATAGATACAATGAGCAGCTCATGGGAAAAGACCAGCTGATCCACGGGCTTGAGAGCGAAGTAAAGAAGCACGAACATGAAGCGAAGAGAAAAAATCTAGAAATCGATCGATTAAACCAGCAATTGGAAGCCCAACGAAAAGCAATAGCCGAATTGGCCGACCAACGACACCGCGAGGCTGAATTATCAGCTCGTGCAAATAGCTCCGACCCAAAAGCTCTCGAGACTGCCCGGCGTCTTGAACAAGAAATGCGTGAGAAAGACCGTGCGATCGAAGAACTCAACCGGCGAATAACCATTGCTACCCGAAAAGCTGCTGATGCTGTTGAAAAAGAGACAAAACTAATAGCTCTCGAAGCACAGCTTGCCAAGTACTATGTTCTCGAAAACGAATGGAAAGTCAAGGAAAAAACTCTCGAAAATCTCTCGACACAGGTGGAATCTATCAAAAAGCAAGAGTGCGAAATAAGCGAGAAAAACGCTCTTATCCGAACACTAGAAACCCGTCTAGAGTCCACATCAAAAGTTATTGCCGAGCTCAGAGAAAAGCATGCGCCACATGACTTGCTACGACAACTTCGACAGAAAGATTACATCATCGACAATCTCACTCAGCAAGTAGAAGACATCGACGCTAATCTCAAGGTCAAAGACGATGAGATAGATCGCCTCACGCAGCGAATAGCCGAAGAGAGCAAGCTCTTGGAGAAGCTAAAAGATCAAAACAAGCAAATCGACCCCTTTCGGGTTCGTGCCGAAGACGCTGAAATGAGAGTCGGCCAACTAAAGAAACAGCTCGCCGAGAAAGAACGGCTTCTTGCCGAAAAGGAAATGCGATACAACGAAGCTTTAAAATCGTCGAGAGAAAGTTCCGAAAAGATTCACAGTCAAGAACTCAACCTTTCTAACCTTCGTCAAGAAGTTGAAGTGCTTAGGCAAGCAGTGAGCACTCAATCTCAAGAAGCGCGCGATAAAGAAACTCTTCTTGCCAACTTGCGCAATGAGACTGCGCACATGCGATCCAATTACCAAGGTCTTCTCGACGCTCTCGCAGAGAAAGATCTCAAGATTCAGCAGTTGGATCAGCAAGTAGAAAGCCTCCACTCAGTCGCTAACAATGCGTCCTGCGAAAAAGACAGCAAGATTATCAAGAGCGAAGTCCGCCTCAATGCTCTTCAGAAAGTTCTCAACAGTAAAATCGAGGCTTGCAGAGACTACGAAAGGAAGATTGCCGAATTGGAAGAAGAATTCGACTGCCTCAAGAAACAAATGGAAGACTCAAAAACAGCGGGCACCGAAAAAGAGGCCAGAATCAACCGTCTTCTCAAGGTAAACCGTGAGCTCAAGACCGAAGTTACGCAACTCAAACAGAAAATGGAAGAAAAGGAAAAAGAGCTTGTAGCTATGAGATCTCGTATCCCTGGCCCATCTCCTGGTTCGATTCCTAATGCTTCCGAACGCAAACCAAGATCTCGCTCTACTTCTCGCGTTAGATCGTCCTACAGTGGTGAAAGTAGCAGCGACGAGGCCAATGGCAATCGTATTCGCAAGCACTCTAGCATGAGCGGTCTTGGCCGTACCTCGATCCAGCGATCCAGCTCCTTTACAGCGTTATCGAACGCCACTCCTAGACGCGTTTCTGACAGTCCTAGACTCTCGCTGAACCGCACCAAATCGACTACGTCATCTTCGACTGACCAACGACGGGCATCTGTCGTTCCAGTAAAGAGGGAAGCGAAAAGGGACGTTAAAGCACGTCCCATGTCGACATCTTCCGTCGATATGCTCAAGAAATCAGTTACCAGCACCAAATCACAATCGAGACCAATCGACCGTTCGGCTGTCGCTCAACGAAAGCGCGACGGCAAAGTCTTGACTCAAATATGCAGCGGTGTAACTCCCAAGAAAAACACCAGGTTGTCTTCGGTACCCGAGCACCGTGCAGTGGATAATAAAAAGCTAACCAGTTCCAGTGCAGACCGCAAGAAACTTAGCGATCTTAACATCGATGCTGCCGCCAGCAGATCATCGACGGTCGCGAGGACATCTCCACCATCTCCAACAAAATCAAGGAATTCTTTGACCCGCCCATTGCCATCCAAGAAAGTGTCCGAAAATTAGGTGTCAGTTCTACTACGACCTATAACCTAGTGTCAGGAAATTTTGATACGTTTAATGAAATGAAATGAGAAAAAAACCTACATCTCTCTCGCTTATCCTTTTTTACCTCCCAAATAACGGGTGTTGGCGGTTTATTACTTTACACGATTATATACACATCAAACTTTTTCCCCTTTCTTTTATTCATTCCCATCATCGGAACATTTTTTTTTCCTCTTTCATCGGTTATAATTTATCCGTCGTTTCGGTTGGCATCATAAGGGTTTATAACATTTATAGTTGTCTACTCTTTATTTTCTTTTAGCTTTTGCATCAAACTACTCTCTTACTTTCTTGGTTGGATTTAGTGGTCTACTGGATAGCCATTCTATTGGTTAGCATTCTTATACGAAGTCCCGTGATTTTATTCTTTAAATCTTTCTTTATTAAGGTCCCCAACATGCATTTTTAATATTCAATATTGTCTTTCTCGTTCTAATTTAGGGTTTTTGTTGTTTTTTTCTTTTTTCACATAATTTTTGCTTTGTCATAGAAGAAAAATTCTGAAACTTAAAAAAAAAAAAAAGAGGGAAAAACCGAGAAAATCCTAAAAAAAAAACTTAAAAGTGTCAAACACAATCTTTTTTTTGTTTTAAGGGCTGTATATAGCAGTTTTGTTATATTGTTGTAGCACATGGTTTATATGATGGTATTATTGCTTATATTTCATTCTCTTAGTGATATTTTATCCAAGAATTACGATACAAAATGAGTCAAAATGAACACTGAATAAAAATTTGACTAAAAAGATGAAAACAATAAGAAAAAAAGGGGGGGAAAGGAAAAATAGGAAAGAGAGAATGAGAATTCCGTATACGCTCTCTCCTCCCCGATCGCCCCCTCCCTTTCTCTTCCTCGCTCGCTGACAATGACCCTAACCGGCGCTGAACGAGATGCTATGTAGACATTTTCCTCGCGAATCATGTGACAAATAGTAAGAAAGACCCTGTGCGTGCAAAGGTTGAGTCCAAAAAAAGCTAAAAGTCGTAGTTTCATAGGCGTTTGTGTTAGAGTGCCGGTCTAATCGATTAGGTAATACAGAAACGCCCATTTGCGTAATGAAGAAAATGATACCTAGCAAACTTATCTCTAAACTATCTGTAGTACTCCCAATGAGGAGTTTTGGAATACGTCTGATGTCATAATTAGCGAATAACGAACCTTAGCATTGTTGCTGATTATTAATTATGCTCGATTTTCGGCTGATACCATTGTAAGGATAGTTCAAAGTACACACGAGACAAAAGGAAGAATTTATTTGATGAGTATGTTACCCACATGCTATAATAATAATATATAAATGTTTAGTTATATCAATATTTATGAATTGAATTACTTAATGGGTTAAATGACGGCGGAATTCAACCCATATGTCACGCTATAATTATAATAAATATTAATATTAATATTGGGTTTCTGGAAATCCAACTTTCTATAATAATAATGAATAACAACTTAAATAATCTTAAAATATTACAGTAATTAATGCCTGAAACAATAACAAGTTCTAATTCTTTTTTTTTATTATGCACAGCATGTGTGTTTTCAAATCCAGATGATGCATTTTCTACATATACACCCCATTTTATGTCTGTAGTAGTAGTAGTAGTAGTAGTAGTAATAAATTTCTGGAATGGGTTTTCCTAACGTTATTACCTATACTATTACATAATACTGCTTGCATTCATAATGTTCATAAAACAAAAAAAAATTGATCTTGCCGTCTTGGTCTATCAAAATACTTAAAAAAAATTGCTAATTGTCAAGAACATATAAATGATTTGGAAAAAGAGGAGCAAAAATATTTAGCTAACCTTCAAGAGGCCATCAATACCAAGATGCCTGGCATCCAAAAATTTCAAGAAAAAGCCAGAAAAGAAAAAGAAATTAAAGAAATACTTGCTAAAAAATTAAGAAATGGAGAGAAAGACAAGTCCCTAAGCCTTTACCTTCTTTGCCCCAAAACAAACCAGAGTCAAATTGTTGGCTAACAAGACTCAATTCCAGCAGCTGGTGAAGCCCCAGTATTAGTATTTAAAGAAAAGTTGACTACTAATCCTTTTTTCATTTACAGAACTTTACTTATAACCTTTTTTTTTTTAAAAAAAAAAAAAGACAACCATTTGTTTTAAATATTTAAACTGGCTTTGGACAAGTAATGTCGTTAAACTCATCTCTGACAAATGCACGAATGTTTTGGTAAAAATATTCCTGCCTTTTGTAATCCAAAGGAGGAGGGGTTACTACTAGGATGGAAAAGGATTTAATTTCTTTGGTAATTCCAGAAACAGTTGTCTTTCTAGTTTTTAACAAATTAAATTCAGTAAAAGCGCCATTAGCAACCATCTAAGCTTTGACAATTCCAGGATTAGTTGCTTCAGAAAATGCTAATATTTTTGCAAACCATTCAATTTATTAAAGAAAATTCCTAACACAGAATTAAGATCTAAATATTGAAAGGCTTTTCCATTGCCATAACACTGAGCCTTGTTTAATCCAGTTGTACTCGATTTTTTCACAACTTCAACAATATTGTTCACACAATTTACTGTTGTTTTGCGATATAGTTTCTTAACTAATCCAAAACTACCATCACACTTGAATTAGTATGTCCAGGTATCATGAACTTTAATTCAATACTTTCATAGTAACCACAAATTACCAAATACAAGTAAAATCAAATGGTAGCATTATTTTTATTCTGTCCTCCCGCGTTATCGCAAGTAATCTTCAAATACTTTTTGCCTTTATTCAATCGCTTAATCCCGTCGAATACCATGCTCAGCGTACCATTAGGGCCTTTCCCGATAATTTCGCCCTCATCAAGAACGTAATTAATTTGTTCGCGTACTGCTTCATCTTGAATACCAAATAAATGCACTTTACGCGGACTGAG